AAATGGTTAGTTTACTTTCAAAATGGAAATCTCTACTGATTTTACACCAAAAAGTAATGAACAAAAAGAAAATAAATTTAAAAAGTGACAATGAATTGAAATGAGAGTCTACATTTTAGCCACAAACTCTGTCAGTTTTTGTGTTATTTTCCCAGTCTCTCCAGCTCCAAATCTTGGACTCTCATTTTAGTCTCAAATTTTATGTCCTTATCCAATCATCTCCATCTGTTGCCCCCTTTTTTTAATCATGGTACTATTCCAAATCTGCAATGTTAGCACTCGCATCCAGGAGTTCCTGCACTAAACGACTGAGTTTTCTTACCATTCCCTAAGTGGCTTTCTGAAAGTTCTCTGTCCTCCATTTATTGCTGCTATATTGATATTTTTCATATGTCAACTTCACTACTAGCTCAAGAATATGCAGTGGCTCCCTACTGCCTGCTGGATCATAACCACATCCCTGCACTGTGTGTCCAAGACTCCCATTTGCTGACCCTCAGTTACCTCTCAATAGAGAAGTCATACAGTCCAGAGAAAAGTGCCCATATTTTGTGTTGGAGGATATTAGTTGTAATCCCTGCTCTGACATTTACTTCTTATGAGGTACTAACAAGTTCTTTAAATCCCCTGAGCTTCAGTAAACCTACTTGAAAAAGGAGAACAATAAAATCTATCTTGCTTGGTTATTATGAGAATTCAATAGAATGCTTGATACAGTCAGCACAGTGCTTTTGCATTTTTATTCCTTTGTTCATGTTGGGCCTCAGGCTACAATGTCCATCTCCTATGCTCTGTTCCTCACACTGCTAATAAAGTGTCAACAAAATTGGAACAGTTATGGAGCACCTAGATGAGACCATGGGGCCTTGCTGGCAAACCCAACTTGCACCTTTTCCTGTATTTGGTTTTTAAAATAGAAGTGAAAATCTTGTTTCTGGAAACATACTTCCCACAAAAACAGTTCGGATTCACAATCTCATTTCCCAGAATTCCTAATGCTTACTTATTCATGAAATCAACAATGTTAACACAGTGCCTATTAAATGTCAGACACTGAGTAAAACACAAAAGGTACATCCATGGTCTTGCCCTACAGAGATTATTATTAATTATGGAAAACATCAAATCTAACAAACATATAAAAAGAGAATAGTGGTGATGATGATGATGATATAAGATGCTCAGAAAACAGAGAAATGGCCAAATTTAGGATCATGCACAAGTCCACACCAAAGAAGTGCATTTAAACCAATTGTTTTCTTATGAAGAGGAATAAACTTGAGGGAATTGGGTGACAGAAAGACTTTAGGACATAGAGATAAAGGTTTCTGAGCAGAGAAACAGTATGTGCAAAGACAGGGAGAGCCAGCACACGCCACAGCAGCAACCACAGCTCCTTAATGGGGCTTGGGTGGACAGAGTGGGGAAGAAGGAAAGGTACCAAGTAAAGTAATTCCTTTGAGCCAGAAAGTAAACTTACATTTCATCCTCAGGACAAAGAAAATAAGAACGTGGGCTTTAATTCCAAGATTTTAATCAGCTGAGATCTGTATAGCCGCTACAAATGGTTTTGAAAGACGTGGTGTGAAATCTTGTGCGCTGCATCACTTTGTAATTATATAAAATGTGACATGAAAAATCACAGGTGACCTTTCTCAGTCTGTGTGGTGCTGCTAGAAACCCGGACATGTGGGAAAAGAAGAAAGTGATGCGCACTGTACATTGATTACTGAAGAACAATGGTAACGAAAGATCCAGAAGAAAAGAGGGTGATGTGGCCTCCTCAGCAGTACCAGGAGCAACAGAGACAAGCAAAGGAACCTGGTGGGATCACTTGTAATTCCATAACAGAACTGTTTCACTTCTAGAGCTGTTCTCTCCAAACTGTACTGCCAGCAGAATACAGTAGGCTTATTAGTGTCACTTATCCTGGCCCCAAAATGAACTTACACTGGCATGGGTCAACACAATGGATTTAGGAATCAAAGGGGTCTGAGTGGGAAGCTTTCTTACACTTAACATTTTCTTTTTTTAAAATTTTATTTAAAAGGAAAAAGAGAAAAAACAAAACAGTGTAAGGGTACAAGTAATACAGAACTACAAAAAAAAAAAAAAAACAGTAAAAAATCACCAGTTAATAGATTACACATTATCATCTTAGAGATAGTTGCTCAAATCACAGGATAAGCATACAAAGTGGACATTCAAACAGTGAGACTGCACACAGTTGTGTTCAGTGATCCAACCAAAAACATTTATATGGTCATCTATTTTAACACACCTAAACACACTTACAGTTGTATCCTTTAGAGCACTTTTACACTTAACATTTTCTTACACTTACATGACACGCAGGACTTGGGCAACTTACACAAATCTCTCTGAGTCTCAGTCTTTTCAGCTACCAAATGTGGTGATTATGACTGCCTCTGAAGGTGATTCTGAGGAGTCAGCAAACGCATGTCTGAAAGGTACCCAGAAAATCTCTTGCAGGGATAGTTGACCTTCTCTATAGCAGACCTTCCCTGAGAGCGCCATTGCCTATCAGCATCTGGCTATGTAAGAAGTTGTAAACCACAAGGCTTACCCTCACACAAAAATAGGGAACACGGAAGACAGAAATAGACATTTGTTAGGATTGGGTGCCTTAGGAGCAACTTCATTAAATCTGAATTCTCTACATGACATAAAGTAAATAAATGTTTTGCTTGAGTGTATGTGCTTGATTCTTATTTCACAGTTGATATTTACACAGATAGCAGAAATATGACTCTTAATTAAGTACTCATCTATGAGCCTTTTTCCCCACAACACATATATAATTAAGATGTCAGGGGACATGTGTGTATGTATTTGTGGGGGGAAGAGAGAGAGAGGGAGAGAAAGAACAGAGACAGTCTCCCTGATATACCATAATTCATGACTTCCCTAACCACACAAAAGCAAATCTATTCCCAAAACAAAGCCACTAATCCAACTGTATTTAAACATCTAAATAGTGCTTTCTGAGTTTGCATGAAAAAATCCAGGGTGGGGCCTGCCTGTATGTGAACTTCTGCCCTTTTCTTCTCTCTAACCCCTCACAATGCTGCTGGACCCTGTGGTAGACCAACATTCCTGTCACCTAAAATAACAAAAGCCGAATGCATGAAGGTAACTCTATAGGAGGCAGAATCCAGATGAGCTGATGGCACCGAATGAGCCATCTGTACACATCTGTAACCATGTAGGTTCAGAATAGCTTCCTTTAAATTCTAAAACAGAGACAGCACCCAGGACATATGTGTTGAGTAATCTTATTGATAAGATGAATTTATTGCTAAATTCAAGTTTTATTACTTCCCACAGGTGTGCCGTGCTCTGTCAACACCAATTTACCCAACAGCCCCCAGACACTTCCCAAAGTAAGTCCTTTCACGGTGCAGATGACAATCACATGCCATAATTACCCAAAAGCATGAATATAAAATAATAGCAAATCAGAAAACGATTTTTCATTTTAACTTTAAACTTTCCTATAACAGAAAGCAACATCATAGTCTCAAATTGCTTTAATTAGGGCAAAACAATTCTGTGCTAGACAACATGAAAATATATCCTGAAGAAGGGAAGAATAAAAGGAAAAGAAAGGAGATAATGGAAGACTGCACATTCTGCAAATACCACTTTTCACTGAGCCCCTAAATCTTTGATAAAATTGTTAAAACCCACAAAATCCTTCAAGAAATGTATTTTTGTGGAACCCTGGAAGGAGCTTTGTACCCATGCTATGCATTGGGTGAAACCTTTAGGAACAGGGAATACAGAGAGGAGCTCCAGGAGAGTGCTTACTCCAAAGAAATGGAATTGGATTTAAGTTTAATATAAGAAAATCTTTAACTTTGCCTCACATCATCTGGGTAATACAATTTTTTATTCAGTTTTTTGTTTTTGTTTCTTTTTGGAAATGCAAATTATTTTGACTAATGGCTTATAAAAGCAAATTAATCAACTAAAAAGCTAATACACAAATTATATGAAACTCTTACTTCACATTTATAAAGTCACATGTTCTTTAACACTATCGCCTTGAGCAATGGGTATACACAAGTCATTTTAAAGGAATGGTGACACATAAGCCAAGTTGCTCTAGCTTATGAGCAATTCTTTACTTTTCTCTTGAGTTATTAAAGGACCTTCATCATTCATCTTCTCTGCCCCACAAAGAGGCTTGAACCTTCCCAACATCAACCATGGAAAGGACCACTGATTCAATATTCAACAGCAGCATCATTTGAAAATGTTTCCAGTCATGAAAGACCAGCATACAATCTAACAATCACTGTTTCCAATTCTTTTCTACAGAAAACTAGTCCGTGAAGCAGACCACTACAGTAAACGTCTATTAAATCCTTAACTAGGCAACTGTCTTACAGAGCATTGTCCATGCATTAGGGTTAATGCCATCATGGAAAAAGCTTCTCCAGGAACTAGCACAAAGCTAGCACACAAGGTAGTGATTCCAAACCAGCCCACCTAATAAAAAGGCCAGAAGAATGAAAAGGAATGAAAGTAATAAAGGAGAAAATGAAAACAGCTTCTTAAGACTTAGTCAATTGATACCCTTACTAGATGAAGCTGAATATCTTTTTAGCAGAGACCTTAGCAATGTACATTTTCCATATTAATTGATCGCCACATAAATCTTTGAATTATTAGAATCTCTCTTGAAAAATAGTAACATTAATAGAACTTGAAAGCATCTGTTAGCCAGGATATAAGTTTGGGACAGCCCCTTCCTCCCAACCAAAGAATAGTCAAGCAGAATGGTGCCTTCTTAGTAATACACAACAGAGTAATCTAAATTTACTGGACCAGAAATGGTTTCTAGAACTTTTGTGTTTTCTGTGTCCCAAGTCCTAGGAATCAAAATTAACTTTGGCCTGAGTGTCACCTGATAGGTGATCTTTCGTCCGCCCTGAGGTGGAGCGGCTGGGACAGAAGGAGAAAGGCAGACTCACCATCTGATTGCTGTACCAGTACAGCGATGACCCCTTGAGCACCACCCAGAACTTTTTCCATTTGTTGCTTAGGAAAGTTCCCTTTTCCTTTTTCTTATACAGCCACCCTTGACAGTCAGCATGTCCCAGATCTTTACATGATATCCTCCTCCGACTCATCTTGAAAAAATCTGCAACAATTATACAGAGAGGTATTACCTTGATTTATGTGGCAAAACGAAAGGCGTCTTTAATTATTTACTTCCCTGGAGTTGGATTTTTCACCAAAGAAAATACAACCAAAAAAAAATCACATACTCGTTTCATTTTTTAAACATTCATTCTGTGCCTCGAAGGTATAAGATACGGGCAGAGAAACAGTGAGCCTAAAGTGCAAATATCCATCTAAAGCTGTTACTAACCAGGAATTAGTTGAAAAATTACAATCACAAGGTTGACAAGCACATCCCTGCAGGCACTCATCTCCTCTCAGCAACGATAGCACTAGTTATGCAATAGATATGGAAGGGTTAAAACCCACCTAAAAACACAGCTACTCTGACTCTGTGCCAGTCTTTCTAAGCCCTGTTGATATTGACACACCACGAGGGATTAATCCAAATGAACAGCCTGCTGTCATTTCTTAAAATCAACCCCAAAATAACCAAAAATTTATCTGCCATCTACCTCCTGATATTAACATTCAGACAGGCAAAAATGCGATCCCAAAGAAGGCATCAGGAAGCACACACACACACACACACACACACACACACACACACACGAAGGGTACCCGATAAAGAAACAAAAGATATCTGATTACCTTGAGTTTTCTTCCTCGTCTTCTGACGCAAGGGAACCTGCTGAAAATGCAAGAAGGAAAGAAAAGAGGAAATTTCTGATTGTGTTGTAACATTTGTAAAGAGAGCAGGAGGGAGGAGGTGGCAGTGTTTATGAGCAGGGTGGATTCTAAAAAAAACTCTCCAAGCAGAGCTCAAGGAGAGCTACTAGCTGAGGCACAAAATGTGCTAATTAGAATCAATATACATTGAGCTGAACCTGAAAAAAAAAAAGCAACAGAACATTTATCACTAATGTTTCCTGTTTCCACCCACAGGCAGCCCTCTCACTCCTCCTTTAGTTACGACAGCAAAATTCACTGAAGTTTTTCAAAAAATTATAAAATGTGTCCCCTGTTATGTTATTGTGTGAGAAGGAAAAATATAACCTGTTTTTATACAATGGCTAAATAATGGTGATTTTTTAAGTAAACTTGGAGGATAACTGCCACAATCACAGAATATTACAGGTTCACACTGAACTAAATTCATGGTTCTGCTACCACGTAAGATTACACTTAAGCATTAAATCAAATATCCAAGGAAATAAATTCCATATCTCTTTCGATGTTATCTCAGTAACTTCCAGCTTTCCTTGTCAAAAAAAATTCTTATTTGCAGCCAAACTGAAATGTCTTATTCTGTCTTTATCTCTGAACATTTCTCACATATTTTATGGAAGATAAATTAGTTACCAACTACTATTCTGTACTGGTTCTTTAAATCTTCAAATCACACGTAACCTAACATATCTGCAACATATTTTAATTCACAACATATTATTAACAATTCATAGAAAACCAGAAAATCAGCAAAAATATAAACCCTCCCCCCGAAATGCTTTCAAATGGCTATGCATGTATACATGCATAGGTAGAGAAAATTTTAGCTTTAAGGAATTTTGTCTTCCTTCTATAATATCTAAGCTGAATTTATTCAAGTTCAAATAAACTGCCTTTTTGTTAACAAGCACAGAAGTTGAAAAAATTAAAAAGCATTCAATTGCAAAGTAGTTCTAGAATTTGACAGATGACTTTTTATGGCATTTTATGCTGTTTTAGATACATCTGGCTAGGATTGTACATATCTTATTATTTATCTAATAGCTGTAAAAATGTAATAAGATTTTAGAATTCAGAAGCCCAGGATTAATTCATGGCTACCAAAATGTATAGCTGTGTTACCCAGGGAAATGTCACTCTGAACATACTTACTGTTTTAAAATCAAAATATATGTAAGAATCACAATCCTATAGGTCTCATACAGGTTTGACAAGATTTATTTGAGAAAATACTCTGAAATATACAAGTTTCTGTGATAAACTATACTATAGTGTTTTATATCCACTAAGCAAATATATATTAGGAAAATGTAATGTGTGTTTTCTTTAGCAAAGACAATTAACTTCTATTTCTTGGGGGAAAGATAGTTTAGGAAATCCTTCACTGAAGGACTTATAAAAGTCATTTTTTCATATGGATGATTGGTCAGAGTCTTAGGGGATATATTTTATGCAAAAATAGATATAAGTCAGTTGCGGCATGCTACTTAAATCTAAGCGTGTTATCATGGAAATATCCTCTCTTAGCTGCCCTTCACAACACTTCCCTCACAGCCTGCTTCTTGCTCTAAAATTTCCCCCCTTATAGTCTGGAGGCATTTTCCCTCTTTTTCTTGGGGATTGAGCCCACTGCCTTTGCCCTGAGCTGTATGCCAGCCTTTTGTTTGTTTCCATTTTGAGACTGAGTCTCATTAATTCATGCAACTGTCCAGTCTGGGCTCAATCTTAGCATCCGTCTGCTTCAATCTCCATAATTCCGGCATTTTTTTTGAGATATCAATTATCTGAGATGCATAAAAGCCAATTAGGATCTACTGACAAAATATTTTTTCCCAAATATATATGTAATTTGAAGCTAAAACTTAACAAAGAGCATGGGAAGATAGTTGGTGGACAAGAGTCTGAGAGTCCCCACCAGGGGGCCACTAAAACAACTAAGAACGGGGAGTATGGGAAGTCCCGGGCTCCAGATGAAGAAGGTGAAATTGCAGTATTTCAATCAAAAAAGCAGCTTAATAAAGATTGAGCAACTGAGAGGAAATCCTATTAGGCCAATTACAGAATCTGCAAAGCAGCGTTGATTCCGTGGCTCCAACCCAACCAGCGAGGGCCCTTCACTCGTCTCCTGTGGGCTCCGCTACTCTGGGGAGCCCTTAGAGACACTTCCAGAGACAGCCCACTGCAAAATGTGGCGTCTGTCTCAATTTTACTCAAGACTAGCCTTTTGTTTATGGTGAGATTCATGTAACTGGGCTGAGATGAGAAGCGGGAATCCAAAACAGGGTAATACAGGACCTCAAGCAGCACCTAATGCAGCTTCCTTGCAAAAGGAGAGAGAACAGCTTAGACGGTGAAGCAACTCTGCTTTGGTAACCCTTCTCCTAAAGCAAATTATTAACTGCTCAGACTGTTTTCCCTGGCCAGAAAGACTTCATACTATAGAAATAACAAATTACAGGGAGTTTCAGTTTCACTTCATATATGTGAGTTTGAAACCAATGTTGGTTTACAGGAGAGAATAAAAACAATCTTCAAGAACTGCCGTGAGTCTAAGATACATTTGCCTTCTGATAACAGGAAGTGGAACTCATGAACTAGTCAGTTTCAAGACCTTAATGTGGTTTTTTCACTGTGGGGTGAGAAAAAGAAAACTACCCGTTGAACATTTTATCACAGTTTTTCAAGAGAAAGGCTATCATCTTATCACAAATATTTAAAACTATACTAACAAATTTTTTCCCATACTATTTTCTCTCAATTTGAATGTAATAGATAAAACTGAAGATTTTTTAAATCTAAATTTAGTCCTAGCTTGGAACTAAAGTTTCAGCAAACTTTTTAATGGAAAATATGTATTTCTTTTTTAATAAGCAGTGTATCTTTACCTTTTTAAAAACTGATTCAGAAACATTATTTGGCAACTAACCACTCCAAAACACAGAAAATACAAAATAAACTTTGGTGTTAAATGGTGGAGTTAACACTCATGTTACAGGCAATATGGATCTGTAATCCAGACTAATCATTCTTGCAGGCATTATTACCTCCATGGCATATTAAAATTTAGAACAAAATAGTTTGTTGATTTGTCTTTATATCAAACTTCAAAGTGATCTTTGTTTTCAGAAAAAAATTATTCCATGATATGCTAGTAAATGGACTCTTTGGTTGCAGGATTGGTATATTTTCAAATATCTGCAGTGAATTTCCTTATATCATTGGCAAATTAAGTTACCAATACTTTAACAATCAAGCCACATCCACACACAAAAATAAAATCCTAGCTCTTAGTGATCTTTCTCTGCAAACACCTGCTATCTCCATAAACATCTTTCTGCTTAGAAAAGTAAAGTCAACGTTTTAAAAGGAAACACAAAACTTTGCCTTAGTAAAATTTTACTTATGAAATTACATTTAAAACCTTGCTACATTTTTTCCAGAGGATCAATCACCATAAATAATCCTTAATATATAAATACAAAATAAAAATCTCCAGTAGTAATAATAGAAAATGATCATAAGAGTCTACAGTTTGGTTACCATTGCATGGAGAACATACAGAATAAAGAGACAAAGTCTGAATGTACAGAAAGACCAACATGTAAGAGGGTTGCAGTGAAAAGGAGCCTGTCCAGGAAACTGACCAGGAACAGCCAAGGATAAACTCAGGAGAGTGAGTGTGGTGCAGGCATAGAAGGGATTCAGGAGAAAGGTGGAACTAAACTATCCAATTTTACCAGTATAAGAAAAAAAATCCATAAATAGGGAGCTCAGCAAAAATTTAATTTTCAGATAGGGTTACAAATTCCAGTGGGTTGGAGGATGACTAGGAGTTTGAGAAATAAACACAGGATTATACTCTTTCACAATCTCTACTGAAAAAAAGTGGGAGCAACATGATAGGTAGTATTAGGAGAGCTTAATGCCAAAGCATGAGGGATGTTATTTACTGCCTTGTTATTAACAACACTGTATAATTCACATTGTGCCCATATTCATATGTTCCTCTGGGCCAAGTATTTATTTGGGAGTAGATTACGTGGTATAGAACACTTGCCTCTTTAATTGCTTAGGTATTCTCAAATAGCTTTCTAAGGATAGTCTCTCCTGCAACATGAATTTTTTGTGTTGTGTACAACTGGGAATGTGTTCGGTTTCCTATTACAGAATTTCAGATATTCTATTTTTTGTCTTTTTTGTTATTACCCTTACTTCTTTAAATGTCCTTAAATACACTCGTTATTTCTTACTAACTTGTTGAAATATTTGCTTTATTTTTTCTTTGCTTTTAATAGTATATTTATAGCTATAAATTTACTTCTGGATTCTATTTACAATTCTCTGTTTTTCCACTTTAAATGATTTATTTTACCTGCATTATTCATGTGAATATGTATAAATTTCTTCATATTCAGAAGTTTTTATGTTTTACTAATTTCTTATTTCAAACTTCCTTGCATTTTGTTCAAAACAAAGATTATCTCTATGATAGCATTTCTTAAAACTTACTAGCACTTACCATAGCGAATTACATGAAGACTTTATGTAATCCTCAATTCTGTTTCCCAAATCTTTTATCTCCTTTTAGTTGTTTACTGGAATTACAACTTTATTGATATCCACCCTCTTATATTCAGTTTTTCTTTGTGATTTGTTCTCTATGTTCCTTTTATAAGAATAAAACCACATTTTAATGCTTGAAAATATAGTAAAACTATCAGTATAGATAGATTAGTATAATCTACTTACATATATCATAATTATTATTTTGTTTTCAGTTTATGCTCATTTATATGTCTGCCTTGCTTTCCTTTTCTTAAATGTTGCCTCTGTAATTTAGTATTTTTAAATGTATCACAAATATAACATCTGAGAGCATTTTATCCCCTGCATGAATGACCATTGTCTAGTTATTACAGCCAGATTTTTATTTTTCCAATAAAAGTACTGTCATTGACTAAT